GTTTATTGGACGTGTAGAATTTTACTTTATTCTTCAAACTTGCTTCTATCATCCGAATAAATTTCTCAACATTGATAAATTATGGTCCAATTTCATTAACAATATCACACTGGAACTTGGTTTTATTGGAACGAAATTTTATTCAATACTCACTATGATTAAAAAAAAAGTGTCTTTTACTTATTATATAATTCATAATTGTCTTCTACACAATTGACATTAATATATAATTAATGTAACAATCATATTAATAATATTAATTCTTGAAATTATTAATCATAACTAAACCGAACGTTCGCCAATTGAATGTCTATTTGAATATGAAATTTCTATCATTGGCGAACGTATGATTTATTTCTAAACTTTATTCACCACCCACACGAATTCAAATAAACGAAGTCCCCCGTCATGGTTCAATCGTCCGCTAATCCCCAGGTGGAAATTATTTCCTCGAGAAAAATCCCGATTTTGTCTCAGATCGTTTTCTTTGAGGAGAAACCTCCATTGGGAACGCGTAGGATCGGATGTCTAATCTTCGGAATGCGATGCGTCGACGCGTAGCACGAACTTACTCCAGCCACGGCTGAAAAGCCTCCCTTTTCTACGCCGGCATCAAATATTTGACAATATTTTCAAAAGTTTCGAAAAAACGTAACCCAACACTGCGCCACTTTGCCAGGGCTAGATTAGGGCCTCGCGGACCAATGGAATTCCTTTATGCGGTGGTAGGATCTCGATGAAGCTCGAACGTGAAGAGGGACGAAAAGAGAGAGAGAGAGAGAGAGTGAGAGAAAGAGAGAACTTCCTCGAACATTCGGTTGGATGATGATGATCCGATGATATCACGTTGCGCTGGCCGAGGGCCGTGCAACAGGTTAGATCCGCGGAAGATCATCCGCGATAATCTAAATGGAAAATTGTATTGAATCAGCAGCAGCGTAATGAAAGGTCTTCAGGTAGTTGGCTGACCTGTATAATGACAGTTAACGCTCGTAATACGAAACGTGGCGGCGATCTTTTTCTTTTTTTTTTCTTTCTTTCTTTCGTTTGATCCCTCTGGAAACGTAACGACTCCGTCGAGCTCCACAAGAATATTCGTCGCTGCTTGATTTTCGAGCGTATTTAAAATTCAAATTTCTTCGAACTGGGAGGGGGAGGGGAGGGAGAAGTTGCTCGATTACCTCTTACTCCGTCCGAAAGGGCTCTATTTCGAGAGAAAGATGGTGACTCACGAGGAACGCGTGGTCATCCGACATCATTATTTCTGCTTCTCATCCCCTCGTTTTCTGTTTCCTCTTCAATGTCTGTCTTCCTTTCCTTTTTTCTTTCTTTCATTTTTTTCGTCCTCTTCTTCTCCTCTTTTTCTCCTTTTTCTCTTTTTTCTCTTTTATTTGAAACATTCTGTGCCGCGATTGCGTGTCTTGTCATTTAATACCGCAGTACCTTGCTCCCCTTTTGTGGTCTGCGCTCGAATATCGACCGATGAATCGCGAACACCTTTATTAATGACCACTCGCCGGCTTGATCTTATTTTACCCCGTTCAGGAACGTGTGACCAAGGACCGGAGATGTTCGAGCATTCAAATGTAAAAATGCTCTTCACTTTCTTTTTGTTTCTTTATTTCTTTCTTTTTTTCTTTTACGGTTTATTTGATTGGTGATACTTTCGAACTTTGGCCAATTTAACGTAATGATTCGTATGGTTCTTTTCTTTTTTTTTTTGACAGGTTCTTTTTATTTCAATTGAAAGTTTGGAGGCATTTCAAAGAGATTTGATCTTGACGGTAATTAAATGTGGACAGTTGAAGTTTGTATCGACGAAATTGCCTGTCAGTTCATTTTTTTTTCAACTTTTCTCTCCGATTTGTCAGCCTGTTTTATTATCTAGATGGCGTGAGTTTGATTTTCTTTTTTGTTCCACGTGTGTATTTGGTCAGATATTTATAAGTGCTTTCGATTCTCGTCGAATTATTTGTTGAGCTATTGTTTATTCAGTTTGGACAATTTTTATTATTTTCGCTAGTTTTATGTACTATAACATAGAATTGCAATATTATTTAATAATATTATTTAATAATATGTTTCTATTAAAAGTGTGCTTTCTTTTCTAGCACAAATGTATATAATCATCATCATTATTATTATTGTATTTTTTTTTTTAAATTAATTTAATTAAGAAATATAGAATTTTTAACACATTTTATATGTTTAAAATATATAATATATATCATTATATAATATTCCTTTATAGTATAGGTGGATTAATGTTCATTACTTCAAAGGGCATGGTGGCCCTTCGAATGATCGCCATCTAGCGTTGCAGGGTCAAACTGTGCACTTTAGGGAAGTTAAAAGGGCTAATAATAGATGGTGCATTGCACTTTGAAAAAAAAAAATATTTCTTTTATGACAAATGGTATTTTTGAATAATTGAATATTATAATGTGACTAGTTGTATCAAAATATAATTTTATTCAGTAAACACGTACGTGAATTTATTATGTATTTTGTTCAATTTGCGTCGCAATAATTTTTATCATTTTTGTTACACTATCATTTTTATTAAATTTTACAAAGTGATTGAGAAATATGTAATATAAATTAGAGTTAGATAAAGAAATAATAAAATGTAGTTACTTGTAATAATTACAAATGATAATACAATAAAATATCGTCTTATAATAAATACAGCTTTTTTCGAAATGATAATTTAACATGTTTACAAAGTTGAAGTTCCAAATCCATTATCTTTATATATCATTTGTTCATTTCATTCAAAGAATTATATACTTTAAATTTAATAGTTTAGATATAGACAAATGTAGTTTTTTATTATTAATATAGACAAATTTAATAATTTAAAAAAAAAAATTTTTTTTTTCTTGTTTACATATTCGTTGTTCGAGTTAATGGATCAAAGAGAGGGAAGGATGAATTAAAAAAGAAAGGCCAAAAATAGTTTCTCACACAATTTCTTTATTGAATACAATTACATTACACGTTGAATACAAAGTAAAACGAGTTGGGACATACACTTGACGTTCGAACGTAACAATTAAAACATGAAAATACTACTTAAAACGATTACATAAAGAAAGAGCAAGCCTAAAAAAATTACGAATAAAACGCGCAAACCGAGAAAATTAAAGCGACAAAAACAAAACAAAAAATGGAGAAAAAGTAGGAAAACTTACGGATACAAAAATTTCTCGAATAAACCAAAAGAAAAGGAAAGAACAATTTCGACATGCAAATTTCCATTTTGGCAGATCTTGATCGATTCTGCTTGGACAAAGTATACAAATATCACAATATATCGCTCGAGCTGAAATTCCATTAATTCTAATCTAACTTATACGAACTATCGTAAATCTATGTCGTCTACAATTAACTATCACAGTTTCGATTTTTTTTTTTAATAGTCTCTAGAATAAAAGTCTCTATTACTTTCTTCTTTTACAAACTAGTATTGCAATTTTCTGGAAGACACATAGTGAGATCACGTTACAATTCCTTACAAAAATCCGCTTCATTTCCCCTTAAAGCACTTTCTATCACAGTTTCCTTCGATTAACCTACAAACTATCCTAATACGAATTATTTATTAATCTTTAGTATCACAGCTTTCTGGAAGCATGCTTTTCAAAATTTATCACAGAGTCGACGAATATAGTAGAAAATTTTCTCTGTCACGTATCACAGTATCTGAGATTATAAAATATGCACTGGGCGGCCTGTGTGCTCGCTTCACAACAAAGTTCGAGCAATTACATCTACCGTGTCTCTATATATATATATATCTATGTATCTTTAACTCTAGTATCACAGTTTAAGTTAGTCTAATAACATTGTCTAACTTAAGAGATCCTTAAAACTACTATTGCAACGTTCTTCTAAATCTACGTATACATACTAACGCATCTATCTCTATCTGTCATTGTAATGAATATATTAATTAAAGCTCCGAACCAGAAGTTATCAAATCGAATCTGCTACCTTAACCGCTAATGAAAGACGTTGAAACTTAAACGAAACTACAGCTAAAAATTTCGCGAAGTACAATGAAAGACCTTACTAAGTGATATTTATCGATCGTCGATCTGCTTGGCCATCTTAAAAGCTTGAGTCGTCCGTGAAACTCTTCCGTAAAACGAAGTGGCCACCTCCGTAACGGGACTGCAACTCGGGGACACGGTCAGGCTCTCAACGGTTGTTCATTTTCATCGCCAGCTCCTTCAGCTCGTTTTCCAGGTTTTCGTTCCTCGAATTACGCAGCTCGTCGTCGTCGTCCACTTGCACGCCGAACGCTGTCAGCCTGATCTTGTTAACGACTCGATTCTGCCAGTCGACGTTCTCCTTTCCGTGAATGACTTCTCCGCGCAGTTTGCCGTACAATTCTCGAACGATCGACAGAGCGTTCTTGATGGCGCGTCTGGCGAGCAGCCCACCGTCAATACGTCGATCAGTCATCGAACTGACGATCGCTCTCGAGATTCGCCTCTTCATGGTGGCGCCGACCGTGCAGAAAAACCGGTCGTGATCCCTGATGTTTCGGAACCAGACTGCCCGTGGACTCTCGGTTGTGTTCTTGATCGATGATCTCCGCCGGTGTCCGAGATTGTGCACGCTCTTCGTGCACGTCACTTTGTGAACCTCTGTGTGTGTGTATGTGTGTGTAAGACGGGCTCTGTTCGTATGCGTGTACAAGCACGATAAGAATATGTACGAGGTGGGTTTCGGGTTTCTTTTGCGGATAAGAAAGAAAAAAGAAAAATGGGGCGGGGGGGGGGGGGGGGGAGAAGAAGAATGAGAGGCGGAAATGGAACGAGATGGACACGTGCACGCGACTGCAACACGAATCTCTCTCTCTCTCTCTTTCTTTCTCTCTTGGTGGATACGATCCGCCTTACTGTCCTTGGAGATGCGCACGTTTTGAGTAGGTGTGATTGAGTGTGAGCTAGGGTGAGGAGCCTCCTTCTTATATAGGCGAAGGGCAGCGCATGCGCGGCGCCAAAGTCGAACAGGGCAGCACGAGGGTGGAGACAGCGCGTCCTTTCGCGCAGGTACGTGCGTAAGCCCTACTGCGCAGAAGGGCAGGTACATTCCACCCCTTCGTTCGTTGTTCGCGTCCGTCCACCCTTGTCAAGGAGCGCGAGCAACGGCGGACCGTTGTGTAATTTACATTTCACGTGTTGCCGCGCGGGAATTTTTTCTGTGAGAATTTTCACATTGTAATGTGTAGGCCCCTCGACTTTAGGCCTCATTGTTTTGGGCTTGACGGATGCAACTAATTGTATGAAAATTGTAGACAGGAATAACTTCCTGGTGTTTCTTCCTCGTTTCTGTTGTTATGTTAATTTTGTAGAGTTGTCCGTTTCCGATTGTAATTCGGGTTATAATTTGAGAGTGGGGTTAAGTTTATTTGCAACTTGTATCACGAAATTGGAAAGTAATCAGCATATTTAACATACTATGTGCAAGAAATTAACTACCAGAAAATCTTCATGAAATTGAATTTTATTAAAAAACTGATCCTTTTAAATGTTTCCTTCCTAAACGTTCATTGGCTGACAATGGCGCGTCGCTGTACGCATGCGCAAGTTCAAATAAACAAATTCGCCCTATTTGTTAGTACTCGATCTGCCATCGAACTCTCTGCTTGTGTCGATCAATGACAAAAGAGAAAAAAAGGATGAAACTATCGGGAATGACGCTCGCATTCAGCTCGAATTGTGTGCGTACACGAAAGGGCGAATTGTAAACTTGGATCGACGGAGCGTGAACGACGGCCGAAAGAAAAACCAGAGAGTAAGAGGAACGGGTGGAAAACGAGAACGGCGAAACGAGAGAGGAGGGTGAACGATTAGCGAGGTGACGAATGAGAGCAAAAGAGAAAAGAAAGGACGGTCGTGGCGTATGCGCAGCACGAGCTGCGCACGGTGCGCGAGAAAAACAAAAACCCGGCAACGGGTTTAGTTAGCGGAGGAAAATAAACCGGCGGAGAGATAGAGAAAGATTGAGAGAGAGAGAGAGAGAGAGAGAGAGAGAGAGAGAGAGAGAGAGAGAGAAGGAGAAAAAAAGACAAAGAGCAAAAGACGGAACCCGTGCAAGAAGATAGAACCGGGACGAACAACAACAAGGACAGACAGTAACCTGAAAGAGGACGGAAAGTAGGTGTTTTATCGTGGCATACGCTCTGCACGAGCTGCGCTCGTCGTGTAACAGACGGAGAAGACGTCGTTGGGTAGAGAGAAATCAAGGGAATAAGGGACAGCGAACGAAGAACAAGATAGAAATCGTCGAAGCACCATGGTGGAGAAGTGAGATGGAAGATCTCGGTGACGAGCAACGGAGAAAGAGAGGGAGAAAATAGGCACTTGGTGGCGCACGCGCAGCACGAGCTGCGCACGGTACTATGAAAAAAAGATGCAGACAAGGATAAAAGGAGGAAGGGAGGCGAAAGGAGGATGGAAAGCACGCCGAAAGCCAAGAAACTGGCGGAGGAAGTAGCACGAGTGCAGAGGGCGCAAGAAAGAAGGAGAGAGAGAAAGAATGGTTGCTTGTTCCTGGCGTACGCGCAGCACGAGCTGCGCACGGTAGCACTGGCGCATGCGCGGCACATGCCTGTGTTACTCCGATCGGAGAAACGAGTGCGAGAGAAGCACGTGGTGAAGTTGTGCTGAACGAGGAAGGAAATTGTTTTCTTGGCGTCGAGAAGCGGACGAAGGATGGAGAACGTCGCCCGTTGAAGGTGAGTAAAGGAACTGGAATATTCTTCTTGAGAAAGGAACGAGACGGAAGCATACGGCGGTTGCACGAGGCACGTCGGACTGCGATGGAAGATGGACCCGCGCGCGAGCGAGCGAGAGTGCCGATTTGATGAAACGGTGGGGATAGAAGGATAACTTGTTGCACAGAAGGCTGTAATACGAAGGCGAACTTAACCTTAGACCAAGGGAATGAGGGAACGGAACGCGATTTCTGTCGCGATTCATTTGCTCGCGATTGCAATTCGCTCAGTAATTTCATGTACATCGTGTCTTTGTTCTGTGACAATGTTTATGGACAAGGCGAAAGCTGTTCTTGCATATATTTTCTCAACATATGTATGCAAATTGGACACAGTGAGTAAGCAGGTTTGTTGTTTTAGTAAAATTTATAAAGCTGGTACGATGAAATTTTTAAATTTTTGAATCGAAACTTGGGGATGAAAATACACTGAATGGGACAACATTTGTAAATTTTTCGTATTCAGGAAACATTTCAAGAGTGTACGTTGATACACCTTTTTCGTTGAAGAAAATTTTCTAGCTTCTCGCGGATATATTTATGGTTCATTATAGTTAGACTGCGGTAGTTTACATACTTGTGCAAATTTATGTTCGAATATGTACAGTATGCAAATATGTACAAAATCTCCAACATTAGTGGAATAAAGATACTCATTTTCACTTCTTCATTAATTCTATTGTTAGATACCAGAGTTCTATTTTTTTGTAACTACAAAAGTTTGATATCACGAAAATATAACATAAAATCGGACAAGTAAACTAAAGATTTTTGTATAATTTTGTACACTGAAGAAGTGGAATCTAAATCTGTCACTCACTAAATTAATTACAATTAATATCCCACTTTGAATACTTTTGGATATTTCCGTCGACCTGGCCACTTTTAAATTTTCCAGAAATGCGTAAATTCTCCAAAAATTTGCAGTCTGTCGATAAGAAACCGCGTGAAATATTTACGTGGGTAGAAAACGCGGAGGAATTGAAACGCAGAAAACGATCAACAAGAGGCGAAAAATCCCCGTGAACGTGATTTACATTCCGCGTATATAGGAGAGCTTGGAGGGTTGCTCGTGTTAAACGATCTATCTTTTGGCGCGAGGAAACATCCGGCTAACCCTTCTCTCCGTGCACACATCGAAGCCAGTCGCAGTTCTTTTGCGCGTGTTGCGTGTGTTGATCGATTCTAACTAAATCGAGAGCTTCGGGTTACAACCGGTAACCAGAAGCTATTACCAGCCGATACGCTCCGAGATCAGATCGCGTATCGGCGGAATAAGTTATAAGATGGGCCGATATCGCGAATAATCCGATCGTTTAACTGGCCCGTTTTCGATCTATCGATCATTAACGCCTCGTCGACCTCGAACGATCCACGCACGAGTTCGTTTCCGAGGTATTTTAATCCCCTGGACCTTCCGAGAATCATTTTTTAGTTAACGGCCACTCGAATTATACCGATATCTCTCAACTGTTCTACTATTTCGTTGTGACGATTGATCGAAAAAGGAAGAGAAAAAGGAAAGGAAAGGAATGACTTCGTATCGGCGCAACTTCATCTTCTTCCGTTTTTGGTCTTGTTTATGAGATCGAGGCGTATCGGAAGATAAGACGTTTATTGAAGGGATTATTTATTCCCGTGTATCAGCAGCGCTGTCAGAACCGATACTTGTGACGAGGAATCCGGTTGTGTATCGCATTTATGGCACCGGGACGCTACTCTTGTTAGCCAGCTTCTTTATCATATTTATTGAATTTTATGTACGGGACGGTGGACTCGTTTCAGGCGGTGGTTGTTCGTGTTTAATCGGTATTTTATGAAAAATACTGGTTGTTAGTTCGGAGTGGATCGATCGTGCTGCTCACGCTTAAATTATTTAAATTATTGTAATCTCGTTTCCATACAAGTTTCTCATCGATGTAATTGTAATTTTTAACGTTACAACTCAATTGTAGTTGACAAAGAAATCGGAATGGTACGTGCACGAGATGATGCATAACATGAGGTAAGAAACAAACTTTTATCCATTTTACGGAAGATTGTAGCAGATTTGAAAAATGCACCACTGTAAATCTATTATAAAATTTATATCCACACATACTCCTGTTGATTCTTTCAACCCACGTTTATTGGATTCTACATTTCCTCCTAGGCTTACAGTTTTTTACGCGTCACTTTGCGACAATATTCCTTGCTGCCCACTTTTAGAGTATTAACGAAATTACCAAATTACAAGGATTAACAAAAATTACCAGATAAAATACGGTATAATTAACCCGATGCTTTTCACAACGTACACGTGTTCCTTTTACGAAGGCTCTCGCGATTAATTATTTTTAATCTCCCGAGATAGAAGAGATTAAAGTTGAAATTTTGTTAATGTCCGACGAAGGAAGACGCAGAGCTTCCTGTCAAAGGCTTGTAAGCACGGTCGATTCACTGTCGAGTATAAAATCCGTTTAAGGCCGTCTTGCCGCCAGACTTTTTTCGAGCATTTAAAGTTTCAAGCATAAAATACCGAGGCGATCCAATATTATACTGCGTGGAAATCCTTGGAAACAGCCACGTTTCGATCGACCCGGGATGAATGACACAAAGCTCGCGAGTAAATCGCTGAAAAGTAGAAATATGTATAGCGTATTTCACGTGGTTGAGATAGCGAGGCATGCAAACGCAACGCAGAAAAGCCGTAGAAGAAGGGATTCCACTAATGGTCGATTCAGTTTCAAGATGAATGGGACGCGAGGGATGGCAAAGGGGTGTACAAGGCAATATTTAGATTCCTGACCAGCCGCACGCAATTGTCCGCCTTTCCCTTGTCCAACGTTGCCCCTCTTTCTTTTGCCCCCTTTAATAGACCAATGCACCATTAATGCGTGCCGATGCTCGAGGTAGAAACATGTTTCTCGTCTCGCTTTCCAGTTCTAGCAAATTTTTCTCGCACATCAATTTTTATTTGCATTAAAAAATTCTCCTTACTGTCAAATTTTTCTCACGTACCTTCCTTACGGAATTTCTGATTAATCGAGGTTGCAATTTTTAGTTAATGGAAATTGTGGTTAATCTAGTCAAAAGCAAAATTTGCCTAATGCCAGTGAGAAGAAATTTTGGTTATTGTTACTCATTAACGACTATCTACATTGTGGGTTTTCATTCGTATTTCGTGTTGAATCTGTTTCTTACATTCCATTACAAAAGCGATAAAATTTTAAAATATCCGTAGGAAGTTCTTATAAACGTTCGAGCACTTTTGTGACCAATCTTAATATTAACTTAACTCAACAAGTATAAAGGATAAAATTTCCAAAAAGCTTTTATTTATGTATTTTAAGAAGAATTATTTAAATTTCTCAAAATAGACTGTTTGATATCCAACTAGAAATTATCAATTGGTCATTTTGATAGTAGTTCTGTTGTTAAATGCAGAATCATCGAATTATAATTCCACGGAAGTCAAATGTAAAGTTACAGTTGTCCATAGAGTTGAAATGAATTGAAATTAAAATTGAACCTCGGATTAAAAATTCGCGTACAAATGCCAACAGTAAAGATTCACAATCCACCCTGATCCCCCCCACCGGATCGGGACGCAACGCGCTGGTCTCGAAGCGGTGACAAATCTGCCGACGCTCGTCAAACGAGAGACGAGAGTGTGCAAGCATTTCGAGGGCAGCTAGATCTTCTCCTTCGTTCGTGGTTGGGGTGCACGTGGAGGCCGCGTGCGCGCACACACACACACGCTCAGGGTAACGCGCGGGTGCGTATCTCGAGGGTGTGTTGATCGGCTCGCTCGCTTGCCTGCCATCGGCCCCAACAGCGTGTGTATATCTCCTCGGTGGCAGCTGGAGGTTTCGCGCGTGAGAACTCGGTGGCTCCGAGGTTCCCTGGTTTCTCGTCGCCACCTGTCCTCGTGCTGCTCTCTCGAGGCGACTGCCAACCCTCTTTCCTCGTCCTCCTTTTCCTTCGCTGCTCTCTTCTCGTCCCCTCTCTTCCCTCCTACCCCCCCCCCCCGGGTCCTCTTTTGCAACCCCTGGCCAAAGTAATCACGCCTGGCCACAGGCCCGTGGGGCGGAGATCGGAGAAAGTATCGGCATGTTTTGACGTTATGCTAATATGCATAACGGGCGTTGCGTATCGGGCTTCCACCAACCTGCGACTTGCCAGATAGTGCCACCGCGATCGTAAAAATCGTCCTGACGAGTATACACGACGTCGTGGGCTGTCGTCGATTTTTATCGCCCGCGGTAATATTGATTAGGTGATCGGCAGAGAAGGCTATTACTTTTCTGGTTGGGTAAGAAGCCGGCTCTCCGACGCCGATGGTAATTATTATGGGTAATTATTGCGCGCGTGTTCTTGTTGGAAATTCCTTTCGGCAGATAGGCCCGCTCCGCCCGGCCCGGTTAACCCGTTAACCTGGATCGCGTTTCTTAATCGGAGAAGAGCGCATTTTGCCGCCCGGAGTGTGGATTTTCAGATACTTTGATGGCGTATTGATGTTGCTGTTGATTTACACTGTTTCCTTCTTTTTCTTTTCTTTCTTTCTTTTTTTTCTTTTTGAGACAGGTATCTCGTATTTTGGTAATTGGAAACTTGCTTTGCTTTATTTGCAATAATGCGGCAGTGGCTCGTATTTGGAGGATTGGATGCGGCCTCGAGACGGTGGTTGTTTGTGTTTCATAAAAATTAAAGAGCAAAGGTCCATTTTATTTTGCAATCTTAGTACAGAGGAATTTATGATGTCGAACGTTAAAGTGACCATTTTGCAATTTTGAAATTACGTAAGTTAATTTCCGTCGCTGTGCAATTCCATTCTTTTTTTTTATCTGAACTCGTCGAGAAAGATCAATTTAAACAATTAGACTTTGTCATTCACCCAACAGGAACTGTTCATATTCATTCGACTAAAATCTCAGATCAACAGTCATTCGAGGATCAAAAACTCGGCCGAAGATTTCACCT